ATTATATACTGAATTTTTCATCTAAAACTTATATGGCTTTGGAGATTGATGATCTGATAAAAAGCATTTATCTTCAGGATAGTGTATTTAAATGTAGTACAGAAAGTTGGAAATTTTGATCTATGAAACAATTTGGTAATCTTCCACTTTCCAAATGGTTAAAGGACTTCAGTGGCAGAGCAGTGACCCCTTGTGTTCCTCTGAATGATGTAATGCTTACACATTTTTAAAACTCACAGAAATTATTGTAAAAGCAGTAGTGCTGTGCAGCATTGAGATCCTGCCTTTTGCACACCACTGAAGAACACTGTGATGGGCAAAGGCACCTTTATGTGTCATACTGACTCCTGTAGTGTGTTGTGTCAAAACCACTGCTATCCATCTTGTCTTTTGGGCTGATGAAACCCTTGAATGCCATCTTCTGACCATGGCTAGGAATATCCTTGTTTATTAGACTTCTGTTTTTTACTTAAGTTTGAAAGCAAGTGTATCAATGACTCCCTTATTACTACTAGAAGAGATAACTTTGAACAAAATCATTTTTTGTTTACTTGCTTGTAGGTACTTTTTTTTTTGAGTCATCCTAAGTTGAAATGTAATAAGACGTAACAAGACATTTGCTCACTAAAGTCACACTGAGAGAATTAAGAAGAAAAGAGATCTGAGAAGCCACTTATATTTTTTCCCAGAAACCAGTTCTCTTTGTGGCCATTACTCAAGCATATTTAGACTGGAGCCAAGGAATATTTCCCTGAATATAACATGTCTCTCTGATCACTGCAGCTTAATAGTAAGTAATTGCTCTGATAGATGTACCCAAGCTAGGGCTACAAATTCAGTGGCTGGGATACTGCTAACAATAGTCGAAAAGTCAGCATAAAAAACATTCCTACTAATAAGTTTACTTTAAGATCATCTTCAGGTTCATAAAATGGAATCCTTAGTACAGTTAATTATGTCTATCCTTAGTACAGTAAAAATAATCAATCCAGCCTCAGGGGAAAAAAGTATCATACGGTAGGGTTTCAAACAGGAGCATAATATCCCACCCACGCATTGGCTTTTTGGAAAAGTAGTAGGCTTTTGAAGAAGGTTGGAGATAACTAGTGTTGCCAGACTGGTTTTTTGCTTCAGAAGAAGCAATATTCTAGTGTGTGAATTCAAGAGTTATTTATATAAGAAATGCAATTAAACATAATTTCTCGGTTCATGATCCTTTGAAGCCACAAAGTAGCAGTTGGATGTCTGCTTGATTTGTCCTCCCTGCTGAAGTGTGAGGAGGATTTTTTTTCACAGTAGTCTTGCACACCAAGGCTGAATTTCATAAGCAGATGCTGAACTCTCTTTCCTTCCTAATTCAGTTGTCTTTCTACTAATCGGTCTTCAGCACTGCCTCCTCCTGATTTTTTGTTTACTTCTATGTGGTAGATTAAGTTGAAAAATAATTCCTGAATTGTCTTGCTATACTAACTTGAATCCTTATAGAAGCCTGTTATTATAGCAGCCTCAATTATTAAAAACAAAAAACTTTTAAAATAAAATGAGATGCCTGTGCATGCCCTGTGTAACAGCTAATCACTGATGCCTTCTGCAGCAGTGCATAGAAAGGTTTCTTGCCATTCTTCCCTAAGTATTCAAACAGTCTAGTTTCACAGAACAGTGGCAAAAAGGAATCAACATTTTTCTCGCTCGAAGAGTAGTTGAAAGTGATAAATAAATGCCTGAGGTAACAGGGGCTATGCATTATAAATCATAACACAATAAATAATCAAAAATGCTTATTTGGATGTGGGGATAGAATATATATGCAATATTATGCATCTAGAACTAGATATAGCCTGAGACAGTCTATTCTTGCCCTGTTTATATTAATTTATTTAGTGAAATGTGCACTTGGAAGCCTCTCCCATATATAATGAGGGCATGGGCTCAATTTTCTTTTTATTATCAAGACAAGTATAGAGCTTGCTTGCAGAAGAGTGACTTCTGCATATAGCTGCATATAGGAATCGTACCTCTGGGTAATGATTTTCACCTGCAACTGTAAGAATATTTCTCTTAATTGCACGTTCCCTAATAAAAAGCAGGATTGCTGAACTGTCTGAAGCTTAGAGTTTGACGGGGAGAAATGGAACTGGCATGCCTTTTCAGCTCATAATCCAACCCATACTGCTGGGCATTTATGCACATTATTCTTTGTTCATGAATAATATGAATATTATTAATTATCCCAAATTATAACATACAAAGGCATTCAGCTGTTGTTGCTTTATACTGCAAAGCTGGCACCTACCCTTTTCAACGCAGCTTACTCTCTTTCCTTTTATTTATGTCATCAGTCAGATATGGAACACTATGTAGAGGACAGTCCCTGATTGCAACCCGAAATCAGAGAAAGTCTGCAAAGCCCAGCAAGCTTCTCTAAGGAAAAAACTGGGACATCATTGGTCAGGCTAGGAAGCTGGGATTAGGTGAGGAAAGTCTTATAAGGAAGTAAGTAGTTCAGTCTGGGGGAAATCCAACTTGGTGCTCTGTTTTTTTTTACAGAAGCCTGCAGTTCTTCTGGTGGTCCCACCTGTGCAGCCTATGACTGCATGAACACAATTATCCTGTCATGAAGTGAAAGCATCCAGTTAAGATTTCTGGCAATGTTGTTAAGTACTGCTAATTTAGAAATGCAGAATGAAGACATGCTAATGAGAGTACTGTTACTGTGACATTACTCACTAGTCTCACAGTCTGTAAAGTTCTCAGTACACAGAAAAAAACTTACAGATTGTCTGAGGAATTGCAAGGGGCTTAGCATTTTTGCATTACCTTCAAGTGAAATACTGAATACAAATTCTCTTGACAAAATGGTTTCTGCTTCAAGTTTCCTGAGTGATGCAGAGAAGCAGTATCCTACAAGAATACAAAGATTGCTCCATATATGTTACCAAGACACTCCCCTACCACAGGAATGTGCCTGCCAGCCCTTGGCTAACCCATTTAATTACAGATTTATAAGGCAATGTGCTATTTAATCAAAGAAATGGCTAATACAATTGTGTTTGACCTCTTTCTTTTATTAGTATATTTTATGTTCATATTTTACAATATAATAAGTTATATATACAGCATTAAACAAAGTTATTAGAAAGTAAGCTTTGTCAAGACCTACAGAATTCTTTTTTCAATCCTGTATGTCCCTTGTATATCAATAAAATACTGTATACAAATAAAATAATGTTAAATAGTCTGTGTTTGCATTGGCACCATCAGTTTCAAAACCCTAACTTTTCATGGCCCAATAAACATAAAAATATGAAGATTCCTTTATCTTCTTTGTCTTCTTTTTAACAAATATGTGATGTGTTGTTTTAAATGGCATATAAAACATAGGAGGCAGTCCACTGAATAACACTGTAGTTACACACTGGCACAAGAAAAATTGAATCTTGATGCTTCTTTCTTTTCTTTCCATTTTGTTGTTTTTTGTTTTTTTTTTCTAGTAGCAGTAGTAAAACCTGCAAATTCATGGTCTTGAAAATAATGTTGAATATTGCTGAGCTGTAAGCAGATCTAGAAATCTTATTGAAGCCTGTTGATGAAATCTGTATGAATTTGTCATTCCTTTCAAGAATTTCACACCTAAATTCCATCAGGTATCCATCAGGTAGTTAAAATTCAAATAAATGCAGCTTGCTGCATCACTGAAAGAAGAGTTAAAATCTGATGAAATTTGGCATGTGCAGATTAATTAAGAGTGTCTTATGTTGCAAAAGAAAGGGTGGAAAAAAATAATGAGAGGGATAGGTTTTATGTTGCAGTATTTACTTCCCCTAATATACAAATCAAGTGCTGAAATGATACTAAATATAGATGTTAAAGGGTGATGATAAATGTTTTGCACAATTATGATACTATCATAGATAACATCTAGTTACTAAGTAATGGAATACTGGTTGTTTAATTCCGAGTAATAGCAAATATTTTTATAGCATTTTGTTCAGTTGTGCATTTTGGAATTTAAGAAGTACTTCTATGTAATTGACACATCTCTTAATTTAATGGTTGCACTTGGTGAAATCCGTCATCACTATTTTGGCTATAAATCAGGCAAATAGGTTTGGTAACAGACACTGATCTGTGGTCTGAATGAATTTTAGATAAATTTTATCTGTGAAAATCAGACATTAGTTAAAAGAATACCAAATTAGGTCAGTTTTTGTACTTCACAAACTCACAATAATGCATTATCTTCCAGAAGAGTTTAATGTTGCTGGTGGATTCTCTGCTCATGGTCTAGGTTTACAAGAGTATAGCATTAAAAACACTTTTTTTCTCCACATTTTAGGGGTCATTAAAGAAATCTACTCTTTTTGCTCTTTGTGTCACATGTGCACCACTGTTTTCTGGAATTCCTCTGGCTGAAGTATAATTTGATATATAGATGTCACTACTGGAAAAGTATATTTTTAATGGTAGTGGACAGTCTGGTTTTGGTTTTGCTTTTTTCTTCACAGTAAAGAAAAGAAGATTTTGCTCTCCAGTTGCAAGGAGTATCTGCCCACTTTTACTGCCCAGTTGCTAACTAGCTTGTCCTTAGCAAGTCAGCAGTTGGAATTTATAATTTCTGAAATGTCAGAATGGACCAAGAGTGCATTTATGTGCATTATGTAGATTGTTTTGAAGCACTTCAATCTGTAAGTTATGGTGACTCTTTTTCCATGTACCATAGTTAGTCAATCTGAGGACTGTGCATATACACCTATGCACATAATGCAATACTCTAGATTCAACAAACCCATAATAAGTATAGAAAATGAAACTGGGTGGAGCAGATAGAAATCTATGTGCCTAATGTGTATTTATTGATACTGTAGCTGTGGTACTGCTTCTGGCTGTAACTGTTAAACCATTGAACCATTGAATGAATAAGAGACATGCAGGAAGGATATCAGAAGGGTTATTTGCCCTTCTACTCATACACAGACTGCAAAATGGATGTTTGTGTCTCTGCTTATTATCCGTAACTTTTTAACATGATCATTTTGTTTAATGACATGTTTCATGCCAACCTTCTTGGGAAATTTCTGCTCTCATTTTGGTAGATGTGTTACTTCACTTTTAGAAGTCAAAGAGAAGAGCTTCCCATTGGCTATTGTGACCATTTCTGTAGAAGAAGCATCAATGGTCTTTCGTCCAAAGTCTTTGATGCAGTGCTAACTGGAATCACACTTCTGATGTGGAGGTGCAGGCCCCAGGCAGGCATGTCAGGATGTCCCTGCTGGTTCAGGAGCTGGCATTGCTTGTGCCCACTCCAGAATGTCTGCACACAAGGATTCAACAGCATCCAATCGCTCGATTTGCACCAGTTTGGTGAGCAGTTCTGGGATGCTGTAGCCTGCCGTGCTGATGCGGTCGAACAGCTGCATGCCGTCTGTCATGCCGCCAATCTCATCCCGCTTCAGCCCAAAGCTCTCGGCGAGGTGACGCCACGTTTTCACTATGGCTTTCTCTGTGTTGTAGGTCGAGCTGAGCATTCGGCTGGTCTTCTCCAGGCAGTCAAAAGGCAGCTCTGTAGGGCTCAGACCTGCAAAGGGATGGGGGGGATTGTCAGGTGACCCTGGGTACAAGTCTTGACATTTATTAAAGTACAACAGATTACACTGTTAGTAATGAATACAGCTAAAATCTTTAAGTGATAGTTCATGATATATGTCCAGATCCAGAGTTACTACTGCATATTACCAAATTAATTCTTCATAATGACAGTAGGATATCATAATAAGGGTAAAAAGTTGCCTGGAAAAGAAGTAATAGATGGGTTGTATGAATTCCCATGGCTCTGCCCTTTCCTTCAACAATTTACTAGCTGTTAGCAAATGTATATTGCAACTATGTCCCTAGTGAGCAGGCCCATTAATATACTTCTGCACGTCAGGCTCAGTGCTTGAGCTCCAGAGACAGCTTTGACCCTTCTCTGAGACTGTCACCAGCAGCTGCTGAAACATATCTGTAATTGAAAGTTGCCCTTGTAGGAAAGTGAGAAGTGAGGTGAAGTAATGATGCCAGATGCAAGTATAAAAGTCCCTCCAAGGGCTTAACTGTCATTACTATCGTGAATCTCTAGGGAGGATTTAACATTCATCCTGGGGGGGGAAAGGCTCTTTTCTCCTGGACATATTTTCTATGTATTCATGTTCAGAAAACAGAGGAGAGAACCAGCTACAGCATTTTTCCCAAACCAGAATGCTTCTGTAGTTTTCCTGCTTCTTACTCATCAGCAATAATTTGATGGTAGACAAAGCTCCCTGAATTACAGCATACTCATAAATGTGCACATAAAGTGTGTGTGTGGGAAGTAAATACAGTCACATCTCCTGTTCTGCAGGGAGCTCAATTTGTGTCTCCTACTAAAACAGTTCATATAGTCAAGTGCTAAACAGGGTCAAAACACTTACAGCCTGGAAACTCTACAATTTGTTATGAGATGTGGGACAGAATTTAGAGAAGCAGAGTAGGCTGAGACTTTTGTCTTACCCTCAGTCCTGACCCTCCCCAAACCACACTTTCATATCTGGAACTTCTTTTTTAATCTGTTAGCTAAAGAAATAAGACCAACAGGTTTCCTCTAGATGGGGAATGCAAAACTGCTTCTCTGCATCTTGGTCTGCTTGTGTGTCCCAACACAGCCCCCCACAACTCTTCCTGCTCCCCACAGGAAGGAAGGCCATGCATGTGCCTGGAGAGAAGCTGTGGCCTCTCCAGCCCAAGCCCAGCCTGGACAGCTCTATGGTCACAGCACCACAAGGGTCCTGGCAAGTGAATACAAATCTGCCTCCAGAGTGTCTTCTTTGTTTTGGGACTATTTTCCATAGATAGCCAGAGGTGTTTCTTACTTTATAGCAAATGCTTGTGATTTGATTTCATATTTTAACATAGGCTCAAACTGTGCACTCACCTTCTGCAACGTCACATACGTTAGCATAAACGTCAAGTATCTTTTTCCTTCGACTTTGAATCTAAATGAGAAGAGATTTATTTCATTAATTGTTCAGTTACAAGATCAAACAATTAGCAGATAGCAGTGGAAAGTCTGTGGGACCTCTCCATTTCATGGGGTTATTACACAGTGTCCTCAAGGGTCCCTTTCGAAGACTCAAAGAAATGACACAGCAATTATTCCACATATTTCTGATTTCATTTGCCACTGCTAGAGATCTTTCATTTCAACTTCTAGACTTTTTTTGAGAGCGAGTACTTTTCTGCTCTAGTTCCTGAGAATGAGGGCAAATCCAGTATCAAATATGCAATGATGAACATGTGGATGTCTAGGTAAGCCAGGTCAGGACTGAATACAAGGTATTAAATTCAGACTGAAATTGCCTTCTTCAAATAATCTAAGAGAACTGTAGGGGAGGGGCTCTTCTTTTCTGTCTCTTGAAGTAGACAGGCTCAGTGCATTACTAATTAACTGAAATATTTTTCAGATAGGTTAAGAAAAAAAAGCAAAGTTTGGGAGAGGAAAAATCTGAGGTCCAGGGGGATCTAGTCATTTTTGACAAGCAAGAAACAAGGCTGAAAACCTGACATTTTTCAGGCTAAAAATGGACACTTTTATATAGTTTCATTTAGTAAAATATTCTCAAGTTTTGGCTTTGGATTCAATGTGGAGTGAAAACAAATGTCAAAATGTCACGAGCTCTCAGGGACTGAAATTTTCTTCTGTGTGCCAGCTCTCATTAGGACTGAGCTTTCTGAAAAGCTGTCTTTTTGACAGGACTCTAGCATTATCTCCACAAATTTGTCACTTTTCACTGCAAACGAGGCTTGAATAAAAGCTTTGCTTTCAGTACTTAGTTTTGTGGAAAGGTTTCCTTCACTTTATTTGGGCAGTAAAGGGCAAGGTGCATCAATGACGTGGGTTGATGGGCTTGCAGCTGGAGGGCAGAGTGGCCGCTCCACCAGGAGCGTGCCCGGCGGGCGCGGTGCGAGCGCGTTGTACCGCGGGGCAGCGCGATGCAGGCACCGCGCGCCGTCCGCTTCTTCACTTGGTCAGTCGTGCTGATATTGTAGGCTTGGACTACCTGTGTCAGAGCCTTGAAACCAGGAAATTTGCTTTTAATGGGGTTTATTAGAACTCCTTCTAAGAAAACTATTAGGTCCTTATTTCCATTCTCCCTCCACTTTCAGGGTAAAGAAGCAGGTTAAGTAATTCCTTGAAGAATTATGCAAGGCGCTCTTTTTACCAGAGCCATGAGATGGGGGGGGGGGGGGGTGTTTAAATCTTAAGCTGAAAGCAAACTGGAAATGTTTAGCTTGATGATCCTCTGTGTGGCTGCACATTGCAAATGGGTTTTTTTAATAACTAGGAAAAAGAAGACTTGGTTAATAGCAAGCCTCTAATTTTCTTCATCCCTGTCTAACTGCTCTGAGTACTCTTTCCTGTGCTAGTAACTCTGCTTAATTCCCAATCTGAAGAAAATTACTGCTCTTCTAACTTCTGGCAACTGGCTTAGTTGTGACATCTTAGGTATGGAGTGGAGAATCTTGATGCAATCTGCTCTTTCATTGAAAAGTCTGTCTTCAGCCTTGTCATCAGTCTTTAGTCCATGAGGATGTGTTAGAACAAGTCTGGAAGAAGTAGTCCATGTTTTAGGTGGAGAATGTATCTATGAAATAGGGTCTTTTGAAGGTAACCTGCTTCTTATGAAGTGTTCTGATTTCATGACTACTCAAGGTGTATTATCCTATTTCAAGCCAGTGTTTACAGAAGTATCATAAAGTTGGATATTTTAGAGAGACCTCTAAAACCTGAACTTTAAAGTGTGAGCATTGGAATAATATCTACAACTACAAAACCATTTCACTTTTGTTGAGATTTTGTGTGTCTCATCTCAGCTGAAAAGTGGTGTGTTTTAAAAATTTTGAGCTGATTCTCCCAACAATTTAAAACATGCAAACAGGAAAAGATGCATTTTCAAACCTATATTTTCTTAAACGATATCTGATGTTTGATATTAATAATGTGATTCGGACCTAGCTATAGCCATTTAAAAATAAATTAGAAATACTAAAAAATCAGAGTAGACACCTTCTTTCTAAGGATAGTTTGATGTTAACACAAACTGAAAGGTTGTGTGGGTGAGGTGTGGGCTTAATTGTGCCTTAAAATGCTCCAAGTGAGATGAAAAGCCCTGAGCAGTGCAGGCTCAACAGGAAGAAGCAAAGGCTTTCCACAGCAAAACAGTGGATTACGGTGTCCTTCAGAGCACAGGAATCACCTTCAAACCATGGTTTTTTTTCAAAATTCCATATGGAAACCAAGCACAACACTGGATATTATTGAGAAGTCTGTGCTGTGGAAATACCAATGCAGCTGGGTCAACATACTCAGATGTTCTGCTGTCAGCCAAATCCAGCCTGCTTCATCATTTTACTGTCTTAGCATTAGCTATGACAGGGGATTGCTGTTATATAGGTGTAATATTGCACTCAAAAAAGCAAATTAATTAGTCCTGTAGGAAATTTTATTTCTATCCTTGAGCATTATACGTATGCATATATGTCATTTGCAAAGGAGATTCTATAACAAGTTTGTCTGGAGAAGCTCTTGTAAATCAATCTGATCTATCCTACTATGCATTTTGGGGGGCTGATAGTTTATATATTTTTTTCTTTAAAAAAAGTAGAAAAAGGCTCTAAATTTTTAAATCTCAAGGTAGCCTTACCCCAGTTGATTTATTGCTTGTAGAAGATTTATCTCTGGCCAAATGCACTAAAGATAACAAGCATCTCTCTGGAGTCCCTTGCTTGTCAACTGCAGCTTCTTCATCACTATCCATACTCCGGCTTAAAAGTCGTTCATTCTCAGAAGATGCATCATTTTCACTGTAAAATGAAGGATAGGGTTATCTTAGTCTCTCATAGATAGACTCGAGTTATCTTCTTTTTGCTTCCTGAGAGTAATGAAATAGAAGTGTTTTCCATTTTTTAAAATGCCTTTCCTCTAAAATCCTGTGACTGCAATGGCCTTCACCAGCCCAGTGTGTACGTGCAACTCCCACCAAGCCCCACAGTCACAGGTGGCTTGCAAGAAGCCTTTTACAGAGGGATTTTCCAACTGAAGACAGTATTAAGCCCACCTTAATCATGTTATTCAGGCAAGTTTGGCTGCTGGGCAGAGACAAGTTGACAAAGACTACCACACCATGCCATGCAGATGATGCTAGGGACAAGGTTTCCTTAAAGCCTGTAGCTGCTATTTTTATCTTCCTGCCTAGAAGGGAAGGGGAATCTCAGTAAGGCCATGTGAGTGAGGGCTGCACTCAGGACCCAGAAATTAACCTCTCAAAAGAGGAGATGGAGGCCAAAGAGCTGATGAATTGGTCACAGAGGGAATGGGAAGGACACAGGTGTCTCTTCACAATGTCTGTTTTCATCTCTTAGAAACCAGAGAGGGAAAAGCCTACTAAGGCATCTGGTCTTTGCCCTGCTGCAGCAACTTGCCAACATACCCATCAAATTTATGTGTTCCACTGTACCAGGAAGAATGATGACCATGTGTCTCCCCCATTTCAGTGAAACTGGCAATATATTTATCTTTTACCCACCTTTTGACAGCCTTAGCTGGAGTTGCTGTAAGTTTTTCAAACTCTTCTTTCTCAGAGAAGATCACAACATTATCTGTAGAACAACAATTAGAGAAGTTTAAATTAGCAATAAGTTTCCAAACCAGTGCTTTGTGTCAGGAGCTAGCTCTGCTGGCAACCCCACTGACAAAATAAATCTCTCTACTATATTTTTAATTGCTATAAGAGGATTAAGTGACATTCTGGAAGCACAAAAAATATAGACAATTCTTCAGTAAACTGATGACAGTTTTATATACTCCAAAGGAGAAACTGTAATTAAGAGAAAAGTATTAGGAATATTTAAGCCCAGTGTTGTCTTGGATAGAAAAAGCAAAACTAAACCAATTTGTACCTTGCACTTCTTTCTTCTCTTCTTGTGTGTTAGCCTGAGCTTCGACATTTTTTACTGAGTGGCTCTTGCAACAGGCTAGAATATACAAATATAACACTAATTATTCTCAGAACCTTTCTAAAGATATCATTTGCAACTAAAATTTTACCTACTGAACAATTACCTTGAGCAGATGGCTTTGTTTTTACAATGTAAAACATGATGATGAGGACAATGGCAATAGCCATTATGAAGATGGTAGACATAGCAATTATAAGAGCTGTAGCCAGATGTCCTTGTCCTGAAAGATCTGCTGGAATAAAAAAAAATAAATTAAGAAGAAAGTCTTAGGATCAGAGACTAGTTAACAGTTTGCAGTTTGCTCTACACATGGTTTGCATAAGCTTTTAGTTGATCTGAGTCTTGATTACTTGTTAAGCATTGAAAAACTCAGTGTTGTGTTTCAAGCAAGTTAATTAAAAAATTCTCAAAATTTTGATATTTGCATAAATGTGCAAGAAACAGGTAGTAGTACTCATTAAGAATATTTGATGGTATGATTTATCAGATACAAAGATGTAGGAAATTGTATTTTAATATGGGAAGCTGTAGATAAACAAGAGTAGAAGCTTTTGTAGCACTGCATTCTTGGAATCAGCCTTGACGAGACAAAAACCAGTAAATATACAAAGGAAAAAAGAGCTAAAATGACTGTTGATAACTGTGGCTGCCTCAAAAGCTCTAAGTTAAAAGGAGGACACAATGTACATGTGGAAAAATGGATGTTTTTCTAACAGAAACTTAAAAAACAGTATGGCTAAAATGTGAATTTAAAATAAGCTAGGTGAAAAGATATTCAGAAAGAAAACTTGGATGGGAAAGGCTAGAATTGAAAAGGTGTGAAAGGATGCAGAAAATTATAGATGTGCTAAAAGGCGTGAAAGCTTTAATTTCTCTGAAAATGTGGTCCTAACAGTCATGTTTTCAGACAATACCAAGAACAGCACTGTCAGTACCTTATTAATTGTACCTTTCCCATTTTGACTTCTCAGGTTCAAAAATTTTTAAAAGCCAAATGATTGTGCTGGAGAACTGTTTATGTTACTTCGATGAGAGACTGACCATATTTGTGCATGAATTTATTTTCACCATTCTAAGCTAAGCTTTGCTGAGGCATAGTGCTATTTCTGTAAAGCTACAAATAATGAGCTAAATTTATTGCTGGCATCACTGGGTACAGCTCAAATACTTGTTACATTGAACTGACAAACAGCATTGTTGTTAACTGAGAAACAAAAATGAATTCTGTATTATTTCTAATAGTTCTAGAAATCTGGAAAGAGTGACAATGAAAATAGCAACAGATATTTTCAGTTTGGTTGCACTTTGTTGATGCCCCTTTCAAAACATAGAGCTGCGAAATTAACCCTGTGAGTGCATTCTTACCTTTGTGAGCATGCTGGTAAGGTGAAAAAGTGCTTGTGCCAGAGGTGCTTGGGAAAATGGCTGAAATGCCAGAGTTAGAGCCTGCACCTGCAACATAAACAAAAATAACAAAATTCCATTGTTACTTTGTCCAGTCAAAGGAACGGGTTGGCTCAAGGAAAGAGAGCCTTTACTTGGCTTGGTTGCATTCCCATTTATTAGCAAAAGACCCAAGAACTACTCGCTCTTTGAGATGTCCCTAATCCAGAAATGTGTAACTGATAGCCTGAAAGTTGGATTACAGACCATGTTTGTGTACACTGTCCAGAAGGAGTGAAAGTCAAACTCCTGAACAGATACAAACGCAGAAGAAAAAGCCAACAGTTCCACATAGATTCCCATGTTATGGATCTGTCCTGGGCAGCAGAGAGTTTTCCAGGGTCCAGCTGATTACTCAGTTTACAATCCACTCTAGTATTTGCAACTGCAGACTGAGACTTAGCTGGTAGATTCATCAAACTAGTGCATCTCACAAGCAACCTTCACTAGCAGCATCACTGTAAAGCTGTATGCAAACCCTCATGACTCCATGGGAAAACCTAGGGAAGGTGACAAATAATGGTGTTGATTGCTTTTCTGTTCCATGGCGCTGTACTGTTTTAAAAGGGAATTTTAGAATTTCCTGGAATCTAACTGGGCAGTATGTGTCTTATGATCTCTTGTCATTCCAAATCTATATTCTGGGGAGAGTGAAAATTCACTGAAACAATAAATGAAGAAGCTATAGGGAAAACTTCATCCTGTCAGAGGGATGAGATTGTCCAGTAGGGGTTTCCAGGTCTAAATTCTACAGTCAAGGTTAGTCTTTCACTTGGTACCATGCACCAAGTTCTCAAAGCATTAAACCAGGTAATAAAATAACATATTTTGACAATAGGAAACAATAGTGTATATTATTAGGAATAAAGCTGTTTATAGGAATGCTTTTATATAGGAGGGTGTTAGCATAGTATTCCAAAATTTAGGGTTGGGAGTAAATGTTATCTTCCGTCTCAAATGAACTTCAATGTTATTGGTTAGTATGTTATGCAAACAGCTACTATCAACAGACGGTGAAAATCATTTTCTGTCTTGGAGGAAGTATGAAATTCCTCCTGCTTTGTGTTAGTTGTCCGTGGAAAAAGTGTAGTGATAATTAAATTCAGAAGTCCTAAGGCCAAAAGCTGTCCCAGTCAGCTGGTAAGGTGTGCACAGCACATGGCTCCACAAGCTGGTTTGGCAACTGGAGTAGATGAGAGCTCACTGTGCCCTTCTTTTGACCAAGTAAATATTCAAACAAATAAAATCACCGGGTAAACTTGACAAGAAATCAAGTGGTCTGGAATTGTCTGAGAAATGTTCTATGGTTAAGAACAAAGCAATATGCACATTCTTCAAATGAAGAGAAATGTTTTTTTAAAAAGAAAAAAAAAGTACTATCTAAAATAAAACATGTCTGCATGTTGCGAATGAGAAATGTACACCTAAAGAGGCTGCAAAGTATGAGTTGCAGGTGTCTTCAAAAGAAATTTTCTCTAACAATCATAAAACTTCTTTCAAACATTATTTGTTGGAAGGAAATTGATTGACTCATTATAATTGGTATTTTTTTAAACTGAATTAAGGTTTTCATTAGGTTTTAAATATACCAGTTTATTAATTTGGACGCATTTTGTATTTTGCAAATGAAGGTTAAGGCTTATTACATAAGTCTTGCCTCTGGTCCTTTCTCTGTGACAGATTTCTTTCTAAGAATTAGTTTTGAGCTCCAGAAACTGTAATGCAATGAGACTATCTATGGATCAGTAAATGAAACGGTCATCTGCATGTAGTGGACATTAAAGACAGGTAATTTGTAAAATTTTCAGCAATTCTTCACAAACTGAAGTGAATCATCCTTGGTCACGACCTCTGTGTTTACTCATTGTGGCTGGACAACAGAGGAATTGTAACAAATGGCCAGTGCTTTGGCCTGATACTTTCCTTCATGTTCATGCACACACACCAGGCTTATGTCTATTCTTGCAGCCCCCCTGGCAAATCCAATTACAGCCAATTGGAATTCTGCATGGTCCTTGCAAGCTGCAACAAGTCAACAATAGCTTCTCTGACACTGCCCCTCAGTGAGCACAGGCAAGCTGGGCTGCTTTGTCTGCCTCGAGTTTAGCTAACAAGCTTCAGCTCATCTCCCTGAGTGAGTTTAGCAGACTTGCTTTTCTTTTCTTTAACTTGAACCACGAAGTCGTTGAAGTATTTCTGCCTAATAATCTTCAGTCTCTTGGTATAGTTAACTTCATGTTTTTCACCCATCTGTGCAAGGAAGCAGAGCCTTTCAAAGTGGGAAGTCAGGCAGCAGCAAGTAGCACAGCAAGGGTAAGCTGGAAGGTCACCACTCTTCATTCAGCATCACTGCCACCCCTCACCCAGCCCCCCCACACCAGGGCAGGGCGTGCTGCCCACACCATGCACACACGTGGACAACACCCTCCCCTCTCCTGTGCACACCAGGGAGAGCCTTCAGCCCCAGGGCCTTTGAGCACAGGGTGCCCTGCATGGGAGCAGAGCCGCCTCCTTTGTTCTGTAGTGCTGGCATGGCAAAATCAGGCTGGTGCTAGAATGTGGTGGCCTTCTACACATGCCTGGGAGGGAGTTAGTTGTTACAGATATTTTAAGTCTACTGTCAAATTTAATAATTTGGCATATCCATTATGAGCCAAAGATTTCCTTTAGATGTGGCTTAGATGAAAGTGCTAATTCATGCACCTGCACTATGAGAGGAACGAAACTGCCACCTGTTGAATTTCAGTTTATATCCCTTTTGTATGAGTAAAAGAGCCAACTCATTGCTTTTTCCCAGTCAGCACCACACTATGACTGTAATGTCAGTTGTTCCTGTGGACAGTTTTGCATCCCAATCACATTATTAATTCTGCTTCCAATATAGATGACACATCATCTATAAAGACTTAGATATAGCCAAGGCAGAGGCATCCTAAGGTGTTATATCACACCATATGGAAACAACCCTATTTTTTAAATAAAGACTGATGGCTGTAATATTGCTGTGTAAAAGAGTGGTTTATGTTCCTAGACACCTGTATGCAATACTGTAAGAATGTGATAAAGAAATTAGGAAAGAAGTTTATCACTGGTGGTTGGTCAACTTTTGCATTATAGATGTTTTTATTCAAAAAAATTGTGATTTAGTTGTAACTTTCTTGGAGTCTAAACACTAAAAAAAAATGCTCCATACTTATTGTTTAAAAGAACAATTGAATCTGTATTCACTTTTGAATGTTTGGGGATTTTAACTCAAAAGATAGCTTTAACTTAACTTACCATGCAGCTGCCTTTTGTTCTTTCAGGAAACAAATGCTGGGCAATAACATACTTCTTTGTTGTTGTTTCAATTAACCTTTCTGCTATATGTAACAGAGTATTCCAGTTGTTCTTGTACTTTGAGACACAACTTACAATAATAAGTAACAAACAAAACTACCAGATTTATGAGAGGAGGAGGGGGAGGGCACAGGGAAAGAGGTTTTACCACCATGCCCCCTTGCAAGTGTTTGTGAGCGAATAAAATCTGGTGCAGTAGGAGACCATATGTGCCCCTGACATCTGTTTCTGTGGGTATCAGCTTACTGGTCCATTCAAAGGACTGCTGCTCACAACTAGCAACAGATTTTTTTGAGCCTATTTAATATTTAATAGCATGTTAAAAAAATCCCCAAAGTCTGTACACAACAGACTATCAGAGTGATCATAAAATAAGACACATTTTATGTGTCTGTATGTGTATCTATTCAGTGCTCTTGAGTGCAGCTTGCTTTCTCCTGATGCATCTCTCCTCTCCCAGGCATAGTCCAGCTATGAATGGCACAGACAAGCTGTGAGTGCCATCACTGAGATTCTTTTATGGGCTGAAGTAGGATAAAAGACACATGCAAATAAGTAATTATCAGCCTGAAATATGAGATGAAAAATAAATTATTCTGAGTTGAAATTCTATAAAAGTAGACAGTTTATAGCTGGCAAAGTTAAAAATGGATTTTAACTAAACATAGTCATAAATAAAGACCTAGATATGTAGAAAGCAAAGGTCAGAACATTTAAATAATGTAAATCTGTATTCAGGTACTTAGGTGAAAGGTTTTCTTTCAAACTTAGGAAAACAAGATTTCAAATTGAATGGCTGTGCACTTGGAAAGTCATGGAAGCTAAAGCAGCTGTCAAAGCCAACCTGCTTTCTGAGGTGCCTACATATGACTTCAGTAACCAAACATAAACCAACTCTGAAAATATCACTGATAACAGAATATATCCTATGCAATGCAGGATTGCCTGAGTGATCTTTATTTTACAGATACTATAAGTTACTCTGATATCTTCTGGAGTCAGGTAGATACTTCAGTTAGTGTAGGTAGCTATTACACCAGGAAGAGCATGAAATAAATTAATTCCTGAGAATTAAACTTCTGAAAATGATGATAGGAAAGTTATCCCCAACTTTTGTTTTCAGTCTGGTCAATCTCTCTGTAAGTAATCACATCACATAAAAGGAAAGATTTTTTTCTGTTGTGCTTTCTATCATGTCTATAACTATTTTATTTCTCTCTCCTTTTGCCAGGGCAGGAAAGTGATGATTATAGGCCACATGGCCTTAATCTGACAATTTATTTGCATCTGTTGAAATTTTTTTTTAGGACTCACTGGGAGCTGTAATCATTGCACAGCACTGGAAAATCATAGAAAAACACTCCATGACTTAATCTTCTATCCAGGAATTCTGTTATCACCCCTTTCTCTGTGCAACATGAAGGGGATAATTGCTATTTAAACTTTGTTGTCATGACTTTAGAGCATCATAAGGAAGAGAACAGACCTGCCTGGAGCTGATGTCCCATTTCCCCAGTGTCCTGGTGGCCATACCATCGGAATGGGTGGTGAGATGAAAAACCAGCAGCTCTGCAGGTTTTTCATCTCCTGAACCCAGTCAGAGCAATCCTGCAGAGCCTCCCATGCACAGGTGGTGCTCAGGTGGGAGCTGCAGCTCCAGCACCAGTGCA